CACTAGGTATAACCTTAAATCAACAATGGGATTGACTAAAGGCAAACCGAACCCAGAAAACATGAAACACCCAGATTGCAAACCGTCTCCATCTCCCACCTTCGAGCCAATCGCACATGCAACCCATTCCCAACTCCTAAATTTTCAATCTCTTTCTTGCTTTGTGGTTTGATTGTGAAGATTTGCACTCAATTATGAAGTTAGGAGATGAACAGCTCCTGGGTTTAATTTTGATGTTAATTTCTTTCATCAAAAGAGGGAGATGAACAGAGAATAAAAGGAAGAAAAAAGGGAGATGAATGAAGAACAAAAGAAGAAGATGGAGATGAAGAGGGAGAAGGACGAAGAAAAAAAGGGAGATGGACAAAGAAAAATTAGGAAGAAAACAGAGGGAGAGGGGCGGAGAAAATTAAGGAAGAAAAAGGGGACAAACGGAGCACAATTGGGAATGGAAAGAGGTTTCTAGAATGAGAAAATAGACAGAAGTAATAATAAAATATTACTAAATATTTATTAAATAATGTAAAATATTAATAAATATGAATTTAATAATATAATATTGGAATTTGTTATTAGTCTGTTCCTTAGTCCTGACACTGCACCAGACGCTTCACTAAGCTAGTCCAATTTAGTCTAATCTAAGCCAGTCCAACTTAGTCCCTGCAACTAGTCCAATCCGAGACAGTCTGGTGCAACAAACGCACCCTAATCACTCAAAGCTCTCTGAAATGTTGCCCCTAAACTCCTCGTATCAATTAACACCTACATAATAGCCTATGCATTATGAGAATGGTGCATTAGGCAAATCAACAACCCAAATAAGCTACGAAGCCCGTGTGAGTGATAGTAATCCGACGTATGTGATAATCATAAAATAAATCCATCAATCAAAGTTTAAAAACAGAATTAATAAAATTATACTTTATAAAATTATAATCAAACTCGCTAAAAACCTCGAAGAAGTCACACAAACATCCATCAGATTTTCTAAATCAACCACAAAGGTTCTTAAATTTCAAGTTCATAAATGCCCTGAAAACTAGGGCTAAAGTGACACAATTCGGCCGAAACCTACATCGCCTAAGCTTTAACATTCTAGGTCAAATCCAAGGAAATCAACAAAACGTGATACAGAGCATAAGTACAATAAGGTAAGATAATGATTATATCGTCAAAAGAAGCCACCTGCATCGGGAAGTGCCACGATTTCTTGTCAATACGGAAACTTTGATACTAGAATCTGGAATGGTGCAAAAATAGAAAATGTGAGTGGGCGAAAACAAAGCTTTTCAAAACCATTTCACTTGTCAAAGGTAATAACCCCTCGCTATAAAACATGTATAATTTCCCAAAAAATAGAATACATACGTATATCAAAATCATGCTCGGAATAGCAAAATCCACATATATGCCATGTAAAATATCTCAGCATAAAATATGTAAGTCAGGGGATATAAATCAATGCAAATGATATGTTAGCTGGAGTCACCTAACATGACCTGTATGGCTCAATCAATAGCTCAACAAGTATGCCTGAACACGAGTCGAAACCACCTAAAGTGGTCTGTAAGACAGAACTGAGTGTAAATAAATACACTCAAGTGCTATGATCACGTGAAAACTGTGTGAATGATCGCGGTTTACCTACGAGTCGGAACCACCTGTAGTGGTCTATACGACAGGAATGTGCACCTAACTTGGATCCAAGGTGAGAGTATGGTGCGGGAAGTGAACATCACGTGAAGGATTGTGCCTTAACCACGGGCGGGAGCACTAACACCGGGGTGCAAGTTTATGAGCTCTAAATACATCTAATATGGCATGAACGATTCATAGGCAACCTGTACGATAGTGTCGGAGTTGCCTACAATTGCCCATTATTGCAACCTGTACAACAGTGTCGAAGTTGCCTACTATTGCAACCCTCTATATTCTAGTATCAAAGTTTTCGTATCGACGAGAAATCCTGGCAGTTCCCAGTGCAGGTGGCTTCTTTTGACGGTATAATCATTATCTTACCTTATTGTACTTTACTTATACTCTGTATCACGTGTGAATGAGCCCATACCAGCTCACCGCGCACACGTGTATTTAGGCACTTTTAGGTTTAAATTTATTCATAGTTTGCCCATTATCACAATTTATGACTTCGTCATCTTACTGGTGTCGGCCAACACAACTCGATTCGGAGTCCTAGTGGATATTCCGGATCGTGATGTGTCAACTTATGCTTCAAGAAAACTCATAACTCATTTGTAATCGAAAAACTTAGGGTTTTTTTATTTTTTATTTTAATTTTACATATGTTAAATTAAATGGGTAAATGGATACCCGTTATAACCGCGGGTAACACCTATAAATGATGGATAACTATTATAACCGCAAGTAATACCCATAACAGCCCATTTAACTTTCACAGATAAATGGTTATACCCATAACTATTTGTTCGTCTAAATAGTTACCCATAACCGTAACCGTGAACTTTAAATGGGTGGGTAACCACGGTTACTGATAGGAGCATATTCATGCGACTTAATTAGCTTGTTCTCGTGCATTTATGTTGTGTTTACTTAGTTGTTTTAGTGTTTAAGGCCACTTTTGTGTATTTTCAGATTATAAGGCCAAACTGTGCAAGAAGATGCAAATTGGAGTCTTTTGGAGCGAAATAGGAAGGAACGAGTTGAAGACTTGAAGAAACGACGAATTCCTACTCCAACGATGAATTCCTACCAAAACGAGGAATCCTACTCAAACAAGGTTTCCTACTTGAAGTAGGAAAGTTAACCCTAAGTTTCCCGTTTTGGTAACCTTTCCTAAATTTAAACGTCCGTATTTTCTAGCCACTTTGAAGGCCTTGTTGGCACTTTAGTACACAAGACCAAGGCCCTAGTCCACTTTAAAGCCCAAGCCGTGCCTTTGCACTTTCTTTTCCTTCCCTTGCCGTGCAAGGGGGGGCATTTGTGTCCAATATCATTCACTTAAACCCTAACCCTAATCACCCTAATTATAATCTCAGCCGTACCCTTTTAGTTGGACCCTAGCCGACCTAATTCATTGCATGCATTCATATTTTTAAACCATTCAGCCACATATTGAAAAAAAAGCTAGCAGCCGCAATTTTTTGATTCCATTCATTCATATTTCCCCATGCAGCCGCACCATAGGGGGACTTGAACATTCACATATTTTTCTCTAAGCCGCATCTCCCATCTATCATCAAAACCCTAAGCCTTCTAATTATTCTTCTAAGCCGTGGCCTCCATTTTTTATTATTGACCGTACTAAACAATTCCCATAACAGCCGCAGGAATTTTTCCATTTTTTTTCCCTGCATTCCGCAGCCACCACATCAATTCATGCACCCTAATTCCCACCAGCCGCACCTTTTCCCTTCCATCACAAACACCAATCCGTAGCATCCACAATCCCATTCTCTGTCCTTTAGCCGCAGGCCATTAATCAACAAGCCGTGCATTCCATTTTAATTATATACACATTCAGCCATTCTCACCCTAATTCTCATTTTTTTAATTCCAGCCGCATATTTTCCCAAAACCGTGCAGCCACTTCCAGATTTTCCCACACAGCCGCACCTTTCCTCCACCCTTCCAGCCACCATACCATCTTTCCTCCATCACTCCACCACCTTGCCGCACCACCAATCCTCCCTAAATCCATCCCCAACCCAAAATAACATCCAAATCATCCATTTAAACTCACTGCCGCAGCAAGGAGAAGAGGAAAGAGGACTTAGACGCGCAGAAATTCAAGTGGATTCGTTGGGCGTTTTAGGTGTAATCAATCCTTTGTTCTTTATGTTTAAATTCAATTGTATTTCTCTTTTTGCGAACATGAGAGGCTAAATCCCCCTAGTTAGCTAGGGGGTGATTCGAAACCATGTTTATGCTTGCAATATGATTTGATTACTTTTGGTTGGAATTTCATGAATGGTGGATTCAATTTGTTTAACTGTTTGATTGATAACTTATTTATGTATGTTGATTGAGAGTGCACGCTTAATTTTCATGCATGAATATGATGCTAGAGTATAAGTGAATTTCACCTAATAGTTATGAACTTATATTCACAAGTAGTGGAGGTTGCTTATAAACAATCGCGTTAAATGAATTCTTGGCACTAGTTTCATGCTCATCATAGTAACGAATGCCTCGTCAACACTTATAGTTTTCATGATGCTTAATGATCTTTGATTGTATCTTTATTGTGCTTTTCACGTAAAGGACTTTTGGAGAATGTTTTGAATTGCGTTGCGCTAACCCATCCAATTCATTAACTTAAGGAGAACTTGACGGTTAATTTAAGCGGACCTAATTAACCTGGGGTGTTGAGTTTCATAATTTATCGAAAGACCAACTGAAAATCATTTTGTATGCAAGTGTAACATGTGTGGAGAAGAACCTTCTAGCTAGCATTCATTCCATATTTTCATCACATTCATATTTACATTCTGCCTTAAATTTACAATCTGTGCATTTAATTTATTTTCGTCAAAACCACAATCCCCCTTTACCTTAGTGTCTAATTTAGTTAGAAAGTGTCTTAATTTGTGTTTATAAGTGTTTTGTATTCTTTGAGTCTTTTGATTTGTTTGAGTGTTTTTATTGTTAGTTTTGCATTCTTTGAGTCTAGTTTAGTGTTTCAAACTTTATTTTACGTTTTTGAGTCAGTTTCCAAATGATTTTGCAATCCCTCCTAATCCCCGGTTAAGAACGATCCCTACTTATTTATATACTACAATTGTCACAAGAGGGTTTTAATTTGTGTGCTTACTTAGTTCGCATCAAATTTTTGGCGCCGTTGCCGGGGATTAGCAACTTTGCTAATCCCTTGGTTCTTTTCTTTTTGGTTTAGTTGTTTTCGTTTTAGTTTCTAACTTAGTGTTGTTTTCTTTGTTTGTTGTTACTTTTGATATTTGATTTAGTCTCTTTCTTTGATTTTAGGTACTAGAGAAGTAAGATATGTATGCAAGTGTAACAAGTGTGGGATGCTATCTAAGAGACTCCAAATTTGGATGCTCCTAGTCATTACAAAGCAGTTGCGTTGGTTCAAAAATTGGGAATGAGAAAATAGTTCTTGAAAATGACACCAGAAGAACGCTCAGAATGGATAAAATACAATATGGAGTGAATGCGGTTGTTTTAGATTTGTTTACATCTTGGAGTATTTACTTTTGTTTGATAACATGTTGACTTTGGTTTGGTTATTTCAAATTTGATCTCGGAATATCTAATTTGTTTGATAATACGTTGACTTTGGTTAAAATGATAGAAGAAGTAGTTTGTTTATTTGCCTAAGGTATTTTTCCCATTCCATTGGTCTTCTTAACATTGAATGAGGATCCTCAAGAATTTCGAGTGCTATATAGGATGTATCCGGATGTTTTCTTAAGGCTATGTGACGTCCTTAGGGAAAAGACGCATTTGAAGGGTACAAGATTTATTTGTATTGAAGAAATGGTTGCTACATTTCTACTCACTATTGGTCAAAATTCTTGATATTGCCAAACTCAGGACAATTTCGGCAGCCACATTTTACAACAAGCAAAAATTTCAACAACATTTTGAAGGCCTTGAACACAATTGCACCAGATTTGATGGTCCAACCTGGATCCATGGTGCCAACTAAAATAAGAGAAAGTACAAGATTTTACCCTTATTTTAAGGTTAGTAATTAGTTGTTGGAAATATGCTCTGAAAGTCAATCTCTGGAAGAAACCTTTCAGGACAATGTAATGATGTATATATGACTCTTATACATCGGAAGGCAAAGATACTAATTAGGACTATCTCAATGAACGAAATATGTCCTAAATGATGAATCCATGGACAATGGATTGATGGAAGAAGTAATCTAATGATGATTAGACTACAGAGACCTTCTTCTCATAACCATTATGTCCAAAAAGGTTCCTGGTCATAGGATTGTCGGAGGGATACTGACAATGCATAGACCGGTACATACTATGTCTGCTTCAAATGGAAGGATGGAAAGTCTCATCCCATTCGTGTAGTGACACTAAGACAAGTATGTAGGTGCTCATTAAGGGAATGAGTTCACTGAACACAATCGAACGAGAGCACTTGCATGGAGGTCTACTCACATGTCAAGCAAGTAACTCTGAAGGTTGGAATAATGTAAGTAATCCTTTGACCTAAGACATCATAGATGTCTAATGGTTAGGTGCTTGATCTTTGATCATGTCAAACGACATTCCATTGGAGTGTCCACGGCATTGTTGGGGTTAAGGTATCTAAACATGTAGGCATGTGAATGATCAACAAGGAATCTCTGATCCTCGTTATGAGAGGAAGAATACTCTGAGATATGATTCGGGAATCTTCGGCCGAAGTCTCGAGCGTAATAAAGGAAAACGTTCCTATGCGACTCAAATGAATCATATAAGAAAGCATAATCACATTAGGGGTTTGACATAGTATATCCATACCCTAGTGATGTGATTGAGAGTATTGTTTTAGAGAAGGATCGAATTACATTGTAATTCCAACTGAATAGGTTCTCCGAATAAACTTCTACATTAGCTTCGGTAGCCATGATATATGTTTAGATGTCACTCATGGCTTGTGAGTTCTTCTAGATGATTAAATGTAGTCATCAAAGAAGAAGGTGAATTAAAAGTAAGTTTTAATTCACTAAGTGGATGGATTAAATATAATCAATTGGATTGGTGCCAATCACCTCACTGCCTTGCTAATTAGAACCTAAAAGATTGTTCACCAATACACTCTTGTAGTGAGTAACTAATGGATGATGGAAATAATTAATTGGATTAATTAAGTGTTGTGATTAATTTAGAAAGTCTAAAGAAATCATAAAAGCGATAAAAGATCGTTTTGGACTTAAAGAAATGTTCGGGTTTAATTGGGCCCATTGGGCCTAAACCCATTGGGCTTTTATTCAAGCATTGGATGACTTGAAATAATAAAAGCCCAAGGCCCAAACAACACTAAGAAGGCCGGCCAAAGAGAGGGAGAGAGAAGGTCAATTGTTGACTTGTTTCTTTATGTTATAAAAGGAACTTTATAATGAAAGTTTATAATGGGGGTTTTGTTTTAGTGTTCATAACACAAAAGAGAAAAGAAAATATAACTCTCTCTAACAACAAAGGGCCGGCCACCATAAGGGGATTTTAGCTAATCATTTTATCACCCCTTTGGTTATTCCTTCATCCTTCTCACTACACTAGTGGGTGAGAATCTTTAGAGGTTTTCAATTTTGGAAACTTGAAGAGGACCTAGGAGCACTCATTCTCAACAAAGTGGAGGAGGCAAGGAGGGAGGCTAGGCTCAAGGAGTTCAAGGAGCAAAGAGCTTGGAGGTGGTCCATCCTTGGTCTAAGATCTAGATCAAGAGGTATAAAACTACTCCTAAACTTTGTTCTTCAATAAATTGTTTTTGATGCATCATAAATAAACCTATGAATCTTGAAGGGGATTTTCATGACTAGAGCTTTGATATTAATTGATGACATGCTTCCGTTGTTTTCGTATATAAATTTTGAATTGTATATGCATGCTAGTCAATAGAAATCCTACATAAATCTCATATTTTCCCTTCATTAGTGCTTATCTTAACCATGTCCTAATTAAACTGGTTTCATAAACATATTCTTAGCTATGTATTAACTCTTATAATTATTTTCGAATTGTATTGGAGCTATTGATGGAACACATCTACCAGCAATGGTATTGGGACCCGAAGTAGCTAGCTATCGTGATCGTCATGGTAAAATATTACAAAATGTATTAGCTACTTGTAACTTTGATTTGGAATTCATATATATTCTTAGTGGATGGGAGGGTTCAGCTCATGACTCCAAACTATTACATGATGTTGTATCAAAGAGGAATGGATTTAAAGTGCCAGAAGGTTTGTATTCATTTATTTATTTATTTACACTAGGATGTACCATAAATAATAACTTTATGTGTTTTAATTTTGGGTAAATTTTTTCTAGTGGATTGTGGATTTGCAAATCATCATCAATTTTTAGCTCCGTTTCAAGGTGTTCGATATCATCCCCAAGATTTTGTTGGTAACGATCGTGACCCCATAAATACGAATGAGTTGTTCAATCCTCGACATGCTTCCTTGAGAAACGTAGTGGATAGGATATTTGGTGTATTTAAATCTTGATTCACAATTTTTAAGTCGCACCTCCATTTCCAATTAAAACACAAGCAAAGTTAGTGTTAGCTTGTGCAAGGTTGCACAACTTTCTTCGCAAGGAGTATCGTTTTGATGAATTTCCAATCGAACTAGAAGATGATGAATCTGAAGATGAAGAAAATGATGATGAACTAGGTAATCAAACTCAAGAGCAACAATGACAGATTGCTAATGCATGGAGAGCTGGCATAGCTACAAATATGTGGACAGATGCTGTGAGTAATAGCATTCAAAGATGAGAAATAGAGAATTACTTGTTTTTACGGATTGAAGTAAGCAAACACCTGGAGAGCAGCGATATAACCTCGGACTTCGCATGACGTAAGTTGCTTAATGTGTGTATGAAATTACATGGCACGGTGACAGTTAATGTGGAAGTAGTGCCAAATTGGGTCAAGGTTGTATGTCTATAGAGACTTGTTGTCAGTCTGTTATTCTTCATGCATTGTTGCATTTGTTTCCAATCAACTTAAGCTTTAAGGACAATTGGATATCAACATGGTTGAAAGCTGGATAAATCTTTTTGCTTTGAGTAGTTATGTTTATATAAAATTGTTGGGCTTTTTATAAAAACTTTGATAGTTTATTTTGACATTAATCGATCGGGTTCCTCTTTCATTTTGATAGCTAGTTGAAAACATTGCATGTGAACTTGGTATTGCGATTTGGTATTAGTAGGATGAAAATTTTGGCTTGTAATGAGAAGGAAATTGTTGATCAAATTCTCCGCAATTCTCTAACCCCATGTAAAGAATTCTCTCACAATTCATGTGAATTCTCTGGAAGTTATAATTAATTCACTCAAAATCTCTAGGAATTCTTTTTTTTTTTTCCTCTCAAACTCTATAGATTTAAATTCCCTGAAACTCTTTAAGAATCCTAATTGAATACACCTCCCTAAATATGAAAGTAGAAATTTGATGAAACTTGAGAGTAGTAAAGTGAAATTATCCTGAATTAAAATTGTAAAAGACTAATCAACGAAAAACACACAATAGAGTGGAGTGATTGACCATAACAAAATCCTAGTGTGTAAATTATTTCTTAAAAATAAAAAATAAAAACATTTGTCATTCTAATTCAAGAAAACTAGAGAAAATAGATTTTTGACATTGGATGATAATCAAATGGCTACAAACGTACGGACATAAAAGTCTAACGAGCAAAGGGAGCAGCAGTGATGGCACACAGAATTAGCATTGCAACATATTTAATACTGCATTGACCGTCAACGGTCTTACTCACAGATTACTTTCCTCTGTTTTTTGTATTTTTTATTAAACCTTTTCTTTTCTCTTCTTTATTAGGGCGCCCTTATTATTAGATTAGTAAAATAACATGTTTTTATCACAAGTTACAACTCTAACATAAGAAATTTATATTTTTTTATACAACTATTATAGTTACACTATTAAACTGTAATACATAATGATAATATAAGAAATTCATGTAAGTGGAAAATTGATAGAAATCCACAACACTGCTATCAATGTTACTCAAAATATAGAAGGTATTCAAACTTAGGTGATGAAAAAAAAATGTATTACTCTAACCAACTTCGATATGTCTAGATATGCAAGTTACCTAATTTAGTTGTTTATTTTTTTTTAATTTTCCTTGATGTTTTTCTTTTGTTGACCCAAATTGTTTCTTTTTTGTCAACATACTTGAACCACAATTACTGCTACAAAAACGTTATGATTTATCACTTTGCACATGAAAGTGCGTTATTAAATTGAAATGTCACATCACATTAAACTCGTTTCATGCAAATCATTTTACAGGGGGGAGGGGGCTATGTAGGGATGACAACAATTTGGTTTGGGGACGGAAACACTATAATTAGCCTTATAACCATGAAAATTAACCATATCCATAATTGCAAATTAACTATCACATCCCAACCTGAGCCCCCACCACATACCGGGCTCGACTCCACCGTAGCACGATATTGTCCATTTTGGGCCCCGACCACGCCCTCACGGTTTTGTTTCTGGGAGCTCACATGAGAACTTCCCAATGGGTCACCCATCCTGTAATTGCTCTCGCGCGAACTCGCTTAACTTCGAAGTTCCGATGGAACCCAAAGCCAGTGAGCTCCCAAAAGGCCTCGTGCTAGGTAGAGATGGGAATATACATATAAGACTTACAGGATCCACTCCCATAGATGATGTGGGATGTCACAATCCCGACGTCCTTGTAGGCACACTTCCGGCCAGGGATTTGGCTTTGATACCAAATTTTCACATCCTAGCCCGGGCAATACCCATTAGGAAGTTCTCGTGTGAGTTCCCAAAAACAAAACCAAGAGGTCATGGTCGGGGCCCAAAGCTAACAATATCGTGCTACGGTGGAGTCGAGCCAGGGCTGTGGTGAGGGCTAAGGCCGAGATATGACACTTTATCTCAGCATAATATATGTAAGCCAGGTGATATAAATCAATGCAAATGATATGTCATTCGGAGTCACTTAATATGACCTGTACGGTTGAATCTATAGCTCATCCATCTAGCCGGAGTCACCTAATATGACCTGTACGGCTCGACCAATAGCTCAATAAGTATGCCTGTACACTAGTCGGAACCACCTAAAGTGGTCTGTATGATAGGACTGGATGTAAATAAATATGCTTAAGTGCTACGATCACATGAAGATTGTGTGAATGATCACGGGTCACCTACGAGTTGGAACCACCTATAGTGATTTGTACGACAGGACTGTGCACCTAACTTGGATCAAAGGTGAGCGTATGGCGTGGGATGTGAACATCACGTGAAAGACTGTGCCTTGACCATGGGCTGGAGCACTAACACCAGGGTGCAGGTTATGAGGTATAGATACATCTTGGCATAATCATGCAACTGACATCCACAATCTATAAACTCACCTGGAACTTACCTGAGCGTCCGCAGTGTCAAAAATAAATATGTGCAACTACTAAATGCATATTCTAAGTATAAAACATTTGGCATGGCATTTATGTGGATTTTGCTATTTTGAATGTGGTTTCGATATATGTATGTACTCTATTTTCTGGGAAACTATACGGGTTTTACATCGAGGGGTTACTACCTTTGATAAGTGAAATGGTTTGTGAAAAGCTTTGTTTTCGCCTACTCACGTTTTCTGTTTTTCACCCCTCCAGGTTCTAGTAGCAATGTTTCCGTATCGACGAGGATTCATGGCATATCCCTGTACGGGTGGCTTCCTAAGATGGTATAAGCTTTATCTTACCTTACTGTACTTTACTTATACTCTATAATCACGTGTGAAGTGGGTTCATTCCTGCTCACCAGCGCACTCTGGTATTTAGGCACTATTAGGTTTAAATTTATTCACATTTTTCCACATCATCACACTTTATGACTTCGTCACCTTTCAGGTGTCGACCATCACAGTCGATTCGGAGTCCTAGTGGACATTTCAGATCGAGGTGTGTCGATTTGGTATCAGAACCAATCCCTGGCCGAGTATGTCAACGAGGACGTCGGGCCCCTAAGTGGGGTGGATTGTAAGATCCCACATCACCCAGGGGAGTGGATCCTCTATGCCTTATATGTATATTCCCATCTCTACCTAGCACGAGGCCTTTTGGGGGCTCACTGGCTTCGGGTTCCATCGGAACTCTGAAGTTAAGCGAGTTCGCGTGAGAACAATTCCAGGATGGGTGGCCCACTGGGAAATTCTTGTGTGAGTTCCCAGAAACAAAATCGTGAGGGCGTGGTCGGGGCCCAAAGCGAACAATATTGTGCTACGGTGGAGTCGAGCCTGGGATATGGTGGGGGCCCAGGCGGGGATGTGACATTAACCATCAAAGATTATCTATAACTATATCCACCGGATGATCAGGAACCCCTATAACCATACCTGAAATTATAATCGAATAATATTCTCAATGTTCTCCATATTTAAAACATACACGAATTTTCATCCTCAATTCATTCTATTGGAATGGATATCCACGATTTATCAAGTTTAACAGTTTGAGCTTTGAATTGCCATGGTAGGGCCATGTTTATCAAAACTTTAGGCGCCCATTGGCATGAGTTTTTGGAAATAATGAAATCCGAGGAGAAACGGTTTAGAGTTAGAAGACGTAAGCTTGGGATTTGAACTTTTCTTGCAGCTTAATAAATTAAAATATATTTTTATATTACTATTTTATGGCAGGTTATAGCTTTTACAGCACAGCGCTTGTTTGACTGCATTTTTAATCCAAGCGACTTCTTTTTCAGAATTCCAAAACAAGTTTTAATTTTCCCGGTCTTTCACACCAAACTTAAAAAACAGCAGAAGTCCTTTGCAATTACAAAATTACCCTTCAAATTTAATTTTTATCCCATCAAAGACCTCATTGCCATCTAATTTGCCTACCGATATTGCCCTTCCTTTTTCTTAGGTTTTTATTTAAATCGTCAAAGTTCTCTTCCCTCAATAAAAATAAAAAGTATAAAGTGTGTAGTGTGCGGTGGCAATATTTGAATCAATGGGAAAAATAGCTTGTGGTGAAAGCAAGGCTTTTATCGTTTTTTCAGGATCTTGCACTAAACCAAATGATTTGCCTCCTCATAAAAAAATAAAAAATGATTTGCAATATGTTTCTTTCACCTTACTTTTGGTATTTATATTTCCTTTAGTTTTATTATTTATTGACATTTCATTTATTTTTACCATTTATTTGTACTATCTCTTTAATAGAGTTGAAACCTACAGATGTTACTGGGCCCTACTTCTATTACAAAGACGGTACAGATAAATAGTAAATGTAACACTATTCTTATTTTTTTGAGCTTGTTTTTCAAAAATGTTATTCTTACTATTTATTGTACAATCTCTTTAATAGAGATGTGACCCACATGCATACCCTACCTCTATTAGAAAGATGATACAACTAGATGGTAAATGTAACATTACTCTTTATTTTTTGAACAAAGTTTGGGAGATTACATTTTTGTATCATATTGATGTACCATATGATGTGACAAATTAATTAATAAATTTATCTCATTAAATATTGATTGTATGCATCACTTTCTATATCAGATGTAAATCAATGTGGTATAAATTTATAATTTCTTTAGCATTACTTTTATTGTTAATACAACACTTTAAATTAGAAATTACAATAATTAAGATATTTCCTTATTAAATTTTTCAAACCAAGAAAATATTTGTTCAAATATGTTTTGATATT